GAATTGGATCTTAAGTCCAACGCCTTAACCACTCGGCCACCCTGGCACAACACCTAATGAACTCTTAGTTTGTCAAAATCTTTTCAGTGCTAGAAGCCAAAAAAATAGATGATTCATATACTTTGAATAAAGAGAAAAAATGTATGGAGGATGGAGATCGAATCGATCCTTATTTTTTAAAATTACTCGATAGATGATTTCTAGATTGAAAAAACACATCTCTTTGAAATTGCTTTGAATTGAAAATCCACTTACGAAAATTTTGACGAAAGAGCTTATTTACTCAATTATACAACTTCTTCTTTGTTAATGAAAAATTCATTAATTAAGTGTATTAAAAAAACTTGATATCAAAAAAAGCCAAACTGCGTGCAAATTTATAAAAACATGTGTCATATGTGTACTACTTTGCGTCACAATATTCGACACATTAAAGTGTTAAAAGAAGTGCTCGGTGAGACACGATTTGACCATATAGTACGAATCTACTTTTCAATTCGTCTGTTATTTTTTTGTGTAAAATAAAATAACTACCACTTTTTTGATTTAATTGGAATCAGCCAAACGTATTATTTAGGCCCAATACGATAAAAACCTAAGATAAAGCCGACTCAAATGAGTTTGATACTGATCAAACCTTTTCGAAATAGTTTATTTTTGTGAACATCAATTAGTCTCTGAACGTGTTCTTTCGAACGATGACGCGCATAACAGAATGGTGAATAAAGAGTCAATCAATAGGCTACAATACATTCCCACAGCAACACAATTTCGTTCTAGAGCCTCCAGCACAGTTTATTTTTGTATGTCCTCTGAACGCGCATGCAATCATACCGAACATATAATAGTAAGCCTAGATTTCGAAAGGTTTGTTGATAAAGTATACAGTTATAATAGAATATATCTTTCCTTACAGAATAATTGGATGCTCGAACTATTGGCGCTTGAGAAAACAATAAAAATATTTCACTTCGCGCCAGATACATGATAGTAGATTGAATGCCAATTTCAAACCAAAACTTGCGAAAAAAGACAAGATTTTTCTCATTCTCATCGTACTAAACGGTCATCGATTTTGTCTTTGATTTTCGTCTTCCTCTATCTAGTTGAAAAATCTGGAAAATCTTACTTTATTTTAAACCTAAGTCCAAGCCCTCGATCATTCGTCTGCCACGAACGACTACAAGCCCAGCTATTTGAGTCACCATATTAGCATTTACAAAGTTACATATACAAGCACTTTCATCGTCTATGTACTCTCAACGCAAGCGAAACAAATTGCCAGCGATGCACAGAGTATCCCATGCTAACCATTGTGAATTGCACCCTTAATCCAATGCCTTCACCACCCGACCACTCTAGCACACTATATTGTGTACTCTTTTGACTTGCTAAGATACTCTCAACAATGGGAAGCAATATGATAAACAGAAAAAAAAATCAACGAGGAATGGGGATCGGTCCCTTAATCCAACGCCTAAACCATTCGGTCACCCTCGCACACATCCAGTGGATCGTGCTTCTTTGTAGAGCTCCTGTGAAGAGGTTGTGACTAGTAGAATAGTCGCTACTCGCATACAGAACAAGCAGACAAAAAGTTTGCCAGGGATGGGGATCGAACCCATGCTCACTATTGTGAATTGGATCTTAAGTCCAACGCCTTAACCACTCGGCCACCCTGGCACAATATCTTAAGA